AATTTCAGCTGAGATCTGCAAAGAGTGGTTATTCAATGTCCTTTTCTGACCTATTTAACAAATACTCTATAGCACTATTTTTTAAGTAACCAGGTAAACAGTTGAAAGAGATTCTTCTGCAGCCCCAGTTATGGGCAACTCTCTATTCTTCTTCACTGAAGGCAAAATACCCTGTCTCAAAAAATAACCAGGGTTGTCTTAGTGTTAGATTTTTGCAAATAATTTGAACACAACAGCATTCACCTGAGAGTAGCTAAAATGAAAGGAAGGCTAAAAAAAAAACTCCAGTGTCATGTATTACCCATAACTGTTTCTAAAAGCCAGCTATAGTTTGCAGCTCCCAGAGCACACAGTTAACTTGACTGACCGTGTTGAAATCTCCCTGGGTAAGCAAGATAGCTCTAAAAAAAGAACATCAGGCCCTCACGATTAATTGCTAACTATTAATAAATTAGGATATTTCTCCCAGGCATACCTATAAATAAACGTAGTTGCCCGAAAGCTTTACCAGGAATGGAAATCAGAGTATTTCATGATATAACAGGCACAGGAATAAGCGATATCCATGAACTACCGAGGAAGGGAATAACAGAACCTGGAGTGCAATAAAGAGACCAAAGCAAACGCTTGATCCCCAGCTAACCAAGTCTACAGCTACAGGGACAAAGGCCAAATTGTAATGGAGCCTCACAACAACGGAGGCTTCTAACCACAAGCGCGTCAAACTGTCTTTACCGTGTAAAATTTGGCTTGAAGTCACAACTCACATAAGTATGTGAGGCCTGGGGGCAGGGGGAAAAGACAGATCAGGCTACAGCAAACAAAGAGAAGGCACATCAATGTTCTCTAATAAGACAGTGACATTTCTCACACAGGAGGCTCTACCCCATATGCAGCTTTCTTCCTCCTCGCATCTTTTGAGGAATTACCTTAGCTGTGGGGTTTTCAGTAGCCAGGGGCTTCCGAGACCATAGAAAATTTCTCCACATCATCAGATCACTCAATTTCCTTCAAATTGTTGCTACATCAGTAACATTAAGACACTTTTGGGCTGGATATTTCTCCATATGAACAGCCCTATGGAACTAAACAGGTTATTGCTGGTTTCTGCACCCAGGATAGCCCAGAAGACTGCAAGCCCACAATCAAACCCCACAATCAAACAAATACCAGCAGCATACTCCAGATGTGCTACAACTTCCATGGCCATACACCTGTCCCACAATAACCTGAATAACTGCAGGGATCCCTATTGAGGGGCTCTGGGGGAATTCAGTCTCACATGCACACAAGGGAGTGCCAAGAGATACAGGTGAGGACTTTGAGCCCATAAGCATCTTAGCCTGCACAGGAGCAAGCCCTCAGGTCAACCGCCACACCATCCAGATGTTAGTTTATACCCCAAGGATCAACTCACTAAAAAAAAAAATCCACAAAAACCAAAACACCTCCAGACAAATGAAAAGAAAAAAACCAAACATGTCTTCTCAGTATAGTCAGGAAAACAGTACATGCTATATATTTCAAAGAGCATAAACTCCATGTCAACCATGCCACAAGTCAAATCAACACAGCATCCTAGCCAAAGAAGTACCTTTTCAAGGATGAATATGGCCCCTAAATATTATCTGAATTTGTATCGTGCTGCAAGAGAAACATATAACTACACCATCACTTCTTCTAGACAGAAATTGAGGAGGTGCTTATAAAAATATCAGATATAGTTTTCAAACACTGATGCTGTAGCTAAAAAGTCATCACATCTTTGGTCGAAGCTTGAGAAACATCTCACCTACAGAGAAAATTGCTAGCAAGTAAAAGCACAACTTCCTCAGCAGCTTTGGTTTAACTAGACCTTATTAGCTACATAGCCTGCTACTGTCAGTACAGCACCCTCTGCCAGAAAAAAACACCCTTGTTCGCAAAAAATAGCAGCATTCTAGTCTGAATTAGCAGGAGAACACAAGCAACTGCGTTTTGTATCAGCTGTTGTTGGTAACAATGAACAGAGCACTTTTTATTTAAAGCCCAACTACAAAAATCTAAAAATACTTATGTTCAGCTTACTAATTCTTGATAGGTTCTATTTTAAATTCTAGATAAATGCTATTTACAGTATTTACCTAGGAGTGAACAGCTGGAAATGACAGAGCAAAACCCTTCAGGATAACATCTGTTAAAAAAAGTTAGTTCAAAAGCCACTTCACAAAAAAAAAAAAAAAAAAAAGAGGCATGTTCACCAAGAGCAAATAAGCTAACTGTCCAGCAGTGGTCACACAGCTTACTTCTGGACTTTGTTTTTTGGGGTTTGTTTCATGGAACACAGGGAAGTTCCCATGCTTCTTTTGGTTTGGAAAAGTTATTTAAAAATTTAAAAAAATCAATTTATAGGTGTTTGACTGTAAAAAGATTTGGAAGGAAAAAAAAGGTTCCTGGAAAAATATTCTCATTTTTACATTGAGTATTAAAATGGACCACTTATCTCTGCTACTCTCTACATTTTTTCACGATATTTTTATCATTGTACAATCAGCATGCATCATTATCTGCAAAACAATCTCCCCACTGAGAGCTGGCATCTCCCATCACAGTTATTTATGTCATTCTAGAATACATCTCCATGGCACCACAGCACTAACTAGAGGCAGCAGATATCACCAGCTTGATCAGTTCAGTGAAGATCATGCTATCACCCTCCCTAGGTGGCACGTGTAAGAAAACAAATGGCATAAGGTCCCCTCCAATCACTTGTTCTATAAAACTAACCTTGAGAATTAAATATAATATTCATAAGGTAAAATACAGATATTGGTCTTTGGTCAAACATAAAATCCAGTGGTTGTGAACTACACAGTAAATAACCATTTCAGATTAAAAAAAAACAAACTATGAAATATTGTGCTAATAAGGCTGTTAGCTAGCTATTACAGTGTCCATTTTAATGTGCAGAGATGAAAGCGTAACCATAAAGAAAAATTTTCCGCATCTCATTTCTTTATTACAGTCTTGTCATGCAGGGAGTCACATAAAATGACGCTGTGCACCAAAGAGGTCAAAAGCTTACCTAGAAACTGAAAAACAACAGCAGAAACAAAAGTCACCAGCAGTCTTTAATTTATTCCTTTGCATTTCAAAGGACACGTGTTTGCATTAGTCAGAAGATCCACCTCCCAACTACAGCCAGCCCTCAAATTATTCTGCATAACACTAATTGAGGGTCCAGCTAAAGAGTTCCCTGTTCAAGGAACCTGCGAGTAAAATAAATTATGCAAGAAAGCAAGCCAAGCATGCCTAAGTATAATAAAGCCTTTTAAAATGATTAGCAGGTTTACTCTTTAATCTGGCAAGGTAACAAACTTTCAGCGCCCAAGAGAAAAAACACAATGAAGGAAAAGCATTATATAAATATTCCACATGCCAAAGCAAAAAGCTTATTTCATTGGAACAATGCACTCCTGTTTCAACCAATACCAATCTGAAAAAAAAAAAAAAAAGAGCTCTTTCTCTGTAAGTTATTTGTACGTTAACGCATAACTTCACAGCACGTTTGCCTGGAATCCTCTTCTCACAAAGGCTGCTTGGACGGTCCCTCACTGGCACCGGCCCCTCCACGCACATGTTCACGCTCAGGAGGGCTGGGAGTATCCATCTCGCACTGTATGAAAACATGAGCCTGCTTTCCAAATTTGCCTCAGTCTTGGGCCGAACTACTGCCAAGCGCTGACCGCAGGCACGCAGTCTAATCGGCATTATGGTCCTGAGACAGAGGGGTAATGGCTGCTGCAAGTAAACGCTGCTCCTAATCCAGGGAAACTTTCTCCTCTGAAAACATTCCTAACTTCGCACCAACTTCAACGCCAGCAAAGCCTGCGAAAATACTTTACGTAACGAAAGACAATCACGCTAAAGCGTAGTCCTACGAGAAGACAGAAGCGCATTTCTTAAGTCATAAGTCCCTCACCTAACTCCTAGCTATCTCCCTTTTGATTTATGCCCCGCAGAGCGGCAACTGCGAGAGCGACATCCCGCTCGGCATTCAGAAACCACGCGCAGGGTCCGACCGGAGTTGACAAAACTGAGCTTTAACCGGCCTTCAGGGAAAAACCCGAAGACACCCAAGGCTGCAGAGGTGCCGGGGCAGGAACGGGGCACCTGGCGGGCACCACCCGCCGCCCGCTCCGTCCCCCCCTTCTCTTCTCCCTGTCTCCCACCACAGAGCTTCCCTTCACCCGCCAGTCCCGCTGAGGCTTTCCGCAGCTCTGCCGACGTCGTGAGCAAACCTCGGAGCGGAGTAGGAAGTTTTGATAGGCGGGAGAGGGCGAGAAACACGCGGGCACACACGGGAGGTGATGGACGGACGGACAGACGGGCGAAGGGGCTGCTGTTCAGCTCTCCGAGCGGGAGCCCGGCGTTTTAATCCCATCACCGTCAAGCAGGATTAAGAGTTCTTGCTTACTTGAGCTAGTTTATCAAGCTTCTGCTTAACTTACAAAACTGGAGTTTTCTCGACCAGCGAGTGGCTTTTGCTTGGCAAGCTGGAAGTTAACTTCCACCGATCGACTACCTGCCTGAAGAACAGCCACTGCTACCTCAGCGCAGGCACACCGCCCCAGAAGAAGGGGACCGAGCCCTGAGGGGACCCCACTGCACAAATCTGCACCCCGAGCCAGCCCGGTGCAAAACTCACCTTCCCCACGTCCAAAAAAACAAACGAAAAAAAAAAACAAAACAAAAACCAAAACACAAAACCCACAACGCGACGTACGCCCAAGCGCACTACCAGGTACGGCGATAAGTCGGGAGGGAAGGTAACAAGCAACCCCCAAGCAGCACACGCCGGGGCGGCCACGGAGCCGGGGCCGAGGCGCTGGCAAAGGCCCCGCTCGCCCCACCGGGGAGCCCGGCTCCGGGAAGAGAAGCCGCGGCGGTCGGTCACCCCCGAGCCCGACGCCGGCAAGTTCCCGCGGCGCAAACCCGGTCGGACGGGCTCCCTCTCTCACCCTTCGTCCAGTCCACCACTTGCTTCGGGCTCCACCTGGTTACCGGCTCCATGGCGGGCACAACCGCCCGCGGGAGACCGCAACCGGGCTCGTCCGGACGCGAACTCGCTCCCCTCTCAAGTTCCCATCCCGGCAGCACCGCTCCGGGGCCGCCCCCCTCCCCACAGCCTGGCTCCTCCCACCGGCCGCGGACCGGCCCCGCCCCGCTGTCGCTCCGCCCCCAGGTGCCGTACCCCGGGCGGGGGCCGGGCCGGGCGCAGCCGTTAACGGCCGGGGCGGCGGGGGGGC